GGCGAACGCGACCGCAACCAGGAGCCTAGGCCACGGGAGGGCAGGGGGCGCGGGGCGGACGTTCGCAATCGTCCACAAGCGCCACTCGGCCACGCCCTCGGTCCCCCTAAACCAGGGCCAGGAAGGGCGGAGGTGCTGCTGCCCACCACCCTGAATGTCCATCAGTAAGGCTTGGTGTGACGTTCTGTTTCTCTGTAAGCACCTCATAACGAAAACAGTGAAAATAAGCGTGGACTCTGATTAAGAAAAACAACAAGGAAAGCACCTGAGGACTGGCAGGGAGGGGGGAAGGGGGAGTGGAGCGGCTTCCAGATCCCGCCCAGCTGCAGCCCCCGCGAGGGCAGGGCAGCGTGCTTCACCAGCCAGAACTGAAACCCACCTGCGTCCTCAACCAGCACAGTCCATCAGCCGCTTGTGGTTAATTCACCCGATCTGTGCTGTACAGAAATTAAAGTAAATTAACTGGACCTAGACGTAGCCACATGGATTTTTTTTAAAAAAACCCTACACTGAATGAACACTCAGTGATTGAGCGCAGTACGATTTACGTAAGATCTTAGAAATCAGTGGAACGTATTATTTACAGATGCCGAGACCGGTGGCCGTGGCTAAGACCATGGGCAGAACTGGACTGAGATGCTGGGGCCACCTCGACCTGGGAGAGAGCTGCCAGTGGCTCTCCACTGTCAGTCATCCTTTGTTTTATGAAAAACCTCAATTACTTCACGTTTGTGATGTCTGAATAAAGAGTTTCAAGGTGCTTGTTACATTATTCTGGGTTATTTTCTGCTTTTTTTCCCCCAAACGTTTCTGCCTTGCCCTTAGCTAGCACCAAGAAGGAAGACCCAGCACCCCCATCCGAGGCGGGGTACGGGCCCAAGGGGACATCACCTCAAAGGGTGTTGAAGGTGGCACCTGCAACCTGGGCTTGGTTTTTCTGGAGGTACCTACTGTCCACAACCCTGTGGGGCCGGGTGGTCAGACCTATGAGCCTCCTACGTTAGCTGCCAGGGTTCCTGGGCCTGAGCCCTGTGTCAGCTCCAGATCCATCCTGATGTGTGCAGATGGGCACATGTGGCTGGACGTGAACCCCGGGGGCCCAGGTGGTGCCTCTCGTAAGAGCTCAAGGCTGGATCCAGCCTGTCTCAGAGACACAAAGGCACGTCCAGTCCTGCCAGACACCCCAGGCTTCCACTGTGTCCAAGGGTGCCCTGCTGGGCCAAGGCTGTTCCCTGCTTCTCTCTCCCTGCCATCAAGGTGGTAGGGGGAGGTGACTCTCAGAACCCCCAGGGGCCAGGTGGGAGGGTGGGCCCTACCTGGGAGATGCCAGGGTGCAGCCCTGGGCCAGCCCTGGCTTGGAGATGACCCAGGAAGACAGAACAGCAGTGTCCATGCATGAGGACCTGAGCACACTCCACAACGATGCCAAGGGGGGAGCAGGCCGAGGGACAACCGGGGAAGCCTGCCTCCGAATAACCAGGAGCAGAGCTGGACATGGGCGGAGCTGCCCGAGGGGCAGAGAAGCTGGCCACCCGACACCAGGTGCCCTCTGCTGTCACCCCTTCCCGACTTCGTGCTGCCAGCAGAGGGCAGGCCCAAGGCCAGCGTGCTGCTCCAGCTGCAGCCCTGCTCCTCCACCTGGACAAACTGCTCATGGGCAGCAGGCAGGAAGCGAGTAGGGTGGTTCCCAGGGGCTAAGGCAGGAGGACAGGAGGGGAGAGTGGAACCAGCAGTGCTGGCCACTGTCTTGCTGGCCATGTCCCTCCCAGGAGGACTCGAGCCCATGTTCCCAGCTGCCCGAGGCCTGGGGCTCTCACAGCTCACCCGCTGCTTTCTTCCCTCCAGTCACGGTTAGAAAATGGAGGTGAAAACAGACCAAAGGGGAGGGGCCCAGTCCACACTCGGACCAGGCAGGTGGGAGCTAAGTCCCAGCCCCCCAAAGGATTCAGGAGGGCCTCTAGGGTCAGCCGCCCCCAGACCTCAAGACCCCCCGAAACAGGATTGCGGGGGGGCCCCTGATGAGACACACAGCTGGTCTGCAGTGAAAACATTTATTTTACAAGTCATCTTCATTACAGGTCAACATCCAGACACAAGGGACGATCACCACGGGAGACCACCGCGCCCTGAGCCGGCCCCAGGTGTGCGTGGGCTCAGGGCGGAGGTCGGGTCCCAGCAGCAGGACGAAACCAGCGCACGGACGGCTGCTGTCCCTGCACCCGCACTGGGGTTTCTCACACGTGTACATTCAGTGTAAGCTGCCTTCCTGGTTCAGAACATCGTCCCACTTTCTAGGGGGACAAAATCAACCGAGAGCTGCTGCCCGAAGGACCCCGGGCCCAGCCCTTTCTCCCTGGGGACCCCTCCAGGGTGGATCTGCAGTCAGGACAGAAGCCCCTTTAGAACGTAGCTTTGTCACTGATCGTACCTGATGCTCAGAAAATTGGTTATAATGTTTCAAGGGAAGGAGGGGTTTTCAGCCACCTCTGAATGTCATGGGGGACACACCTCTGGGTCAGGTGAGCATGGCAGAGGCCCCCAGGGATGGGTGTGGCCCTTGTGCCAGACAGTCACCACCTGGGCAGCCCTGCACCCTACCCTGGAGAGGCAGACACCAGCAGGGGAGGCTGCCATGGCGCGCTCAGGCACCGGCCCAGCCATCCACCCCCATTCCAGGCGCACCACAGGCCGGTTTCCTTCCGAGCACCTGGTGGGGCGCTTGCCGGGACCCGCTCCTGCCAGGACCGTCAAGAAACCAGGGGCCGTTCTGGAGCCAACTGTCACTGCACCTGTTGTTTCACCTGGACAGCAGCAGTCACGCCCGCTGCGCTATATACATATGCACATATGTACACACACTGCCCACACCCACAGCTCAGACGCCAGCCGTGCTTGAAAGGACAGGAAGAAGGAGCTTTTGCCAATTCCACAGGCGATGATTCACAACCAAACAGCAAAACAAACAGGGAAGTCTTGTGTCACACGGGCTCACAGCTCAGAATACAGAGAAAGGAATGAGACCGGTCACTTTCCACACCCCCCACGCATTCCCCGGCAGGCCATGCTGAGTGCCAGGGCAGGACGGACGGGCCCCCCAGCTCTGCCCACGCAGAGCCTGGCCCCTCCAGGGAGAGCCTGCGTGCCGGTGCCCGCCCCACGCACTGGTGGCCTCACCAGGTGCCGAGGAGGCTGCACGTCTCCCTGGACCGCCAGCTGCAGCGGCGGGCTCTCCCCAGGCACAAGCCCCCCTGGAACAGACCGCTCACAGTTAGAATGTGCAAGACCGTCCCGGCAGGGCCTTCTCAGGCAGCCTCGTGACCAAGCCCAGTGCGCTCCCACCGCCAGGTTCCAGCGGTGCTGGCTGCTTGACTGACTAGAGAAGCAGGAAGGCTCGCGTGTGAGCGGTAATATCTAAAGCAGTTTGAAAACAGAATAAAGCCAAAGGAAGACAAGAAAAGACCACGCCACCAAGCGGACTGACACCAACACACCAGCAGCTGCCCTTGGGTGGCGCAGGCCTCTCCCACACCTTAGGCCGCAGGTGGTCAGAGCGGCTGGACGCCCCTGGTGCCTGGTGGTGCACCCAGCTCTGGCCACAGGGTACAGCCTGAGAGTGAGGGCCAACGTGCGCCTGTTCCCGCCACAGCAGACGGAGGGTGGTTCCCACCTAGCACACAAATGGGGGTGCCCTTTCAGACAACACTCTGTACCAGGCAAACAGGTGGACCACACAGGAAAAAGGGAAACTGACCAGGGACTTGGGTCTTCGGTCAAGAGGAGGGCCTGGAAGTGCATCCGGTAGAAACTTAGAAAGGGCTCCTGCCTCCCGACCACCAAAGTGGAGACGCTTCGGGGTCAAGAGAGTGTGTGTGTGGTGGTGGTGGGGGGTCCAGACCTGCCCGGACCCCGGACTCCGGCCTCGACCTGCCACTGCTGTCACCTGGGGACTGTCAGCATCACTGCCATGATTCACTTAGCTTCTTAAGAGATTCCACGGGACTGGGCTCAACAAAATTCCAGACGTGCCCCTTCGGAAGGGCTTCCCACTCTGGCCTCCAGGGAAGCCTGACGTTTCTAGGAAACGACCAGTAAGATTCTGTGACTGACGGACACCTGGCCAGGGGCCCTGGCGTGTGGAACAGGCCTTGAGTCCTCTGGCCACAAGGCAGCAGCACGGCGGCTCCCAACTGAAGCCCAAGCTCTGACCTTGGCTCTCGGCCATCCTGGGGAGAAACAACTCATTTCCTAAGTTACTTCCAGAAACAGCAGGAAGCTGACGAGGGCCTGCACCTCAGGCTGAAGTGCTGGGACTGTCTGGCCTCCTCTCCGTCTCAGGGCGGGTCAAGCTGTGGACTTCTTCCTCTCGCGAGGCCTGGCTTTAGACCACCTCTCAGTTAGCATCAGTGCACACCCGCCCCTCACTGCCTGTCTTCACAGTCTCTTTCACAGGCGAAAACCAAAACAACATGGTACCAACAAGTGCCCACAGCCCTGCTGCCTACCCGAGCCGGCCGGGCACCCCCACACAGAGGCTTTCTGAGCACAAGGGCCGCGGGAGAACAGAGGCAGTGCTTCGGGAAGTGGTCCTGGTGCGTCCTACCAGCAGGTGGGCGGTCCCTCCTGTGCCCCCAGGGGGCATTCAGGAGCCCAGTAGCCACGAGGTTCGTTCTGCAGAAACTAGGCCCACTTGGGCACCGTGGGTCTCCAGTGCCCGGTGCAAGTCGAGCGGGGAGTCACCCCGCCACAACCAGGTCTCCAGGTCCTTCCAGCAGGGGCACCACCGACAGGCCTGGACGCAGACAAGCCTGGCTTCTGACACTGCATAAAAGGTGCTACCGAGACAGTGAGAGGGGCTTCCGTGGTCAGGCTGCTGGCTACCGAGCCCAGGGGCACCAGGGCCTCCTGGGGACCCAACCCTCTAGCCCAGAGTGTGCCTTTGGTCCAGCTGGTCCTTCCTCTGCCAACCTGCTATCTCCAGCTCTGCCTGACCCACCTGCCCAATGGCCAAAGGGAGCAGGCGAAGGAAAGGAAAGCGCAGAGGGGAGGGCCGGGCAGCCCCTCACCACCAGCAACCTGGACCCTTAGCTCCTTTGCCTCCCATGAATTGGGCCACTGCTACCATCTGTGGTTCTTAGAGGTCCAAACACAGATACAAGGCCGGGGGGCCTGAAGGAATGTGGAGGAGATGAGGGGAAGGGGAGAGTGGAGGCTGCCGGGAGGGCCTGTCAACCCAGCTCGGGGCCATTGGAAAGTGCAGGAACCTTCCCATGCCTGGCGAGGGCACACTTGAAGGACAGGGGCCTCAGGTCAGACACGGGCAGGGAATATGGTCTCAGGACCAGGAGAGCCTCCTACGCTGTCCACAACAAACCCAAACGGGAAGCACCCTGCCACAAGGCCAAACAAACGAGGTGACCAGATCTCACAAAACTGTCCTCAATACGGATGCCATGGAAGTGCTGTTGGCAGGGCGGGTAGGCCCAGCTCCCTCCTGGCAGGTGAGTCCAGAGGCCCTGCCGGTGGCCACACAGTCAGCGAGCAGAAGGCAGGAGGCTGAGTCCACAGCCGCCGCCAGGCAGCGCCTGCCTCAGGCCCCTGAACACAGGGGAACGGAGGGCCCGTTCGGCCACGAGGCCGACAACCCACAGCAACGACCTGACCAAGCCGAGGCAGCTCCCGGTCTGGTGAATGTGGTCCGTGGCCCCAGGACGCCCACAACACAGACAGACATGGAACATAACCCCACACATGCTATTAAAAAAGGAAAACAACGGAAAAAGAAGACCGTAGCTAAACTGCTTTAAATACTGCATGCTACGCACTTCACGTGTTGGGGGTCGACGGATGGGCGGGCACAGAGGCAGGCTGGCGCGGCCCCTCCAGGGCCAGGGCAGCGCCTGCCCCATCTCTGTGACTACAGTTCATGATTCTAAGGTTGAGTGGCCGGGTGCTGACTTATCCTCTAATCACAGCTCCTCCTGGACTTAATTGAACCCGTCGGTGTGGTAGCTGGGGTGGGAGTCGGCCGTGAGCTGGGTGGTCTCTGTGGCGGACGCCGGCTGGATGACGATTGGCGTGTCTGTGGCCTCTGCAAGCAAGCACACGCGCGAGGCATGAGGCCCAGCCAGCAGCCCCGGTGCCGCCCGAATGACACCTCGGCTGCCTGGTGGCTCTACTGGGGTCAGAGGTCGCAGGGCAAACGCTCAGAGGGGAGAGGCTACTGCGACCTTCACCCCACACAACCTTCCTCCGTGGCCTCAGCCCTGGGCCCCTCCCCACCTATTCGGTCCCTCGTAACTACGGCTACCACAGTTCGCGGTGGGGACAGCCTCTGCATCTGCTGTTACCTCCAGGTTCCACGTCACACCTCAACAGGCCCAGCTGCCACCACAAACACTCCCGGCCCAGTGTCAGTGCCCTCCTGTTTGACGAGACGGGTGCACACGTTCAGGGCCCGCTCCGGCCGCGCCCCACGCGCACACTGGGCCGGGCGGCGGCACTCACCCCGCTCGTCGGACTGCAGCTGAGCCTCCAGGTCCTCGGGGGACACGTAGAACTCGGGTTCCTCGCCCTCGGGCGCCCGAGGCTTGCACTTCCCGCAGCAGCAGTTGAAGCAGCAGCACAGGCAGCAGCAGCAGTAGCAGCAGGTGAGGAGCCCGCAGACGACGAACAGGGCCTGGGGGGACAGGCGCTGGCTGTGCGGCCCAGGCCGGGGCACCCCTGCCTACCCCGCGAGGGTGACCGAGCGCTGCCCCACCCCGGGATCTGGAGGCGCCACACGTCAGAAGGCACCCCAGCTGGACGCTTGAGACGAGTCCTGCCCAGTGACGAGCTAGACCTGCCCAGAGCACCGTGGAAGGAGGGTCCCCCCGACTCTACATCCCCTCAGGCTCCCGTGGAGGCCTCCCGACTTTATGTCCCCTCAGGGTCCCGTGGAGGCCTCCCGACTCTACGTCTCCTCAGACTCACAGTGATGCCTGTGTCACCGCCCAGCGCAGACCCCGCGCTGTGGCCCCTGCCCGCAGCCCTCCCACCTCGACCGCCGGGACCAGGCCTCATGTGGGGCGAGGTGCTGCCCGAGCCGGCGCCCTCACCTTGGCCCACCAGCTGGAGAGCACGAAGTAGGTGTTGACGTTCTCCTCCCCGAACTGCTCGGCCACGTACAGCCCCAGCGAGCCGTACTTGTCGTAGATGTTTCTCTTCGTGGCATCCGTCAGGATGGCATGGGCGCTGTTGATCTCCTTGAACTTCTCCGCGGCCTCCGGGTTATCGGGGTTCTTGTCTGGGTGGTACTTCAAGGCCAGTTTCCTGCAAACAAAACCATCTCTTGGTCCCGCACACAAGTTCACCTGGCAGAAGAAACATTTACCCACCACCGTCTTGCTTCCCAACTCCCCGCAGAACTCGAGCACGCTGGGGTCAAGAGGAGTCTCTGCGAGCGTTCCAGGCCCACCTCCTGGCCCAGGGCGTCTGCAGAGGAGCATGTGCCCGGCCCGGCCCGCCCTGCTCCATCTGAGAACTTCCACCAGCGCCGGGGTGAACCTGGCTGTTGCCCTCAGCATCCCAGCCGCTCACTGCAGTTGCCAGGGGAGCAACACAATATGTCTGACAAGGAAACAACGCAGAGGACCCAGAGGAGAAGTACGTCCTGGATGACCGGTGACATCTGCCTCCCACAGCTGGCACTCGCAGCTCGGCACGACCTGCTCCCGAGGAGCTGCCTGCTCCAGGGTAGAGCTCGCGCTATCCAAAGTGCTGTTTTTTGTTGCCATGAAAGCATTCAGGTAGCAATTTTAAGCCATGCGTTGTACTACCCGTACAAAGATACGATGGAGCCGCTACTAGCTGGACACTGAGAAGACCGGGGAAAACCACGTGTGAACACAGCCACAGCCTCCTGCCCGGGAGCAGGGCCTCTTACCGATAGGACTTTTTAATGTCATCCGAGGTCGCATTCTTGTCCAGGCCCAGGACGTGGTACAGCGATTCCCCGGAGGTAGACAGGGAGCGCTGTCTCTGGTCGGCCATGGTAGGCTAAGCTACAAGAACACGGAGAAGACACTGAGAAGCAAGGACAAAAATTCCAAGCGCAGGGCTGATGGACTTTATTCCACTTGACTGTGGAATTTCATTTACTTGGACTAAACAAAAAACCACAACACTGTTTGTGGAGGTCACAATGTACACAAACACAACACAGTCGGTCACGCAGGAAGGAGTAAGGAATGGTCCCACAAGGGGGCAAGCGGCAGTTTCTAACTGTGCTGTGACATTGTCACCCTGAGTGGACTGCAGAAAAGTGTGTTTATTGCAATCCCTAAAGCAACCTCTAAACAAGAATGCAAGGAAGCGTATCTGAAAAGCTGAAAGAAAAATGAAAACCTCTTCAGACTGAAAACGCCAGTGAACGGAAGGAGACCGTCAGAATGGATAAAATGCAAGACGCAACTACACTGTGTGCAAGAGACATACTTTAAAAACAGCCTCTAAATACGCAAAGGAAGTACTCATTGAATTAGAAGGAGAAACAGGTAACTTCAGTCACAAAAATCGTGACACTCCTCTGTCAGAGACTGACAGAACAGACAGACACACGAAATCAGGAAGAATGCCAACCATCTGAGGAACACTGTCAACCACCACGACCTGATGCCGGCGTGACACCCACACGCATGGGATGTGCACGTGCGAGACACACTGAGCCACACGACACATTGAATCTTAAAACAAGTTTCAATGAATGTAAATGGACTGAAATCATACACAGTTATGTCCCCGACCTTCATAGCATTAGAGACCCAAAAGAAAGATGTCTAGTATCTAGAAAACCTCAAGTATTTATTTTTAAACAATACAATTCTAAATAACATGTCATTCAAAAAGAGAACGGACATAGTTTCTAAATTCATTACTGATCTAACAATCTATGTGTGATTATTGGCAACTGCTTAAAAGTAAGTTGACACAGTCACAGCTGCCAAAACTCAGAAGCAATCAGGACGTCATCCAGCAGGTGAACAGAGAAATACACGGGTGCGTCCAGACAGCGGAGTATTACTCAGCACTAACTGAAATGGGCTGTCAAGCCATGAAAAAACCTGGAGGAGACTTAAATGCATTTAGCTGAGGGAAAGAAGCCAGCATGAGAAAGCTGCAGACTGTGCGAGCCCAACTACTCGAAACTGTGGGGCAGGGCCGAGCTCTGGAGAGGTGAAGGGGTCAGGGCTTGGGGGGTGGGGGCGGGGGCAGGGCCCCAAAGGTTTCAGGTCAGTGCCACCACCGCGGTGGACACACCATCATACGTATGTCAAAACACACAGAACGTGCAGCACCAAGAGTGAGGCCTGACGTGAACCGTGGACTTCAGTTAGTACGTATCAATACTGGATCACCACTCACGACCACACAGGCTGCATGACCTGTGGGACTGGGATCCTCTCCGTACAGGCTGCTCGGCTTTCGGGTAAACCTAAAACTGCTCTAAAAAAATCGGTCATCAACTAAAAACAACAAAACACAAAAAGCAGCTGATGACCACAGAGGAAAAGCAGCAAGTTCTGCTTTTCAGTTCTGACATCCTCAGAGCGAGAGACGACAAGAAGCTGTGACGACAGAGGAGGAGACAGTCTCTGGAAACAGCTCTGAGAGTGAAGATGCTGAAGGCCAAGGCACAGAGAAGACGCAGTCAGGAAGTGCCTGGGGAGAGTCAGCACAGGGAAGACCCCAGAAAGGAGATCTGTCTGGTGGGAATTTGAAAGGCAAAGAAAACAGCCCACTGAGAAAAAACAGTCCACTGAAAAGAAAAGAAAACACAAGTGTGCAAACCAGCGCCCATCCAGGACAGGCCACACGTCAACAGCAGGCAAACAGCACTGCCCACATCAGGGAAGTCTGAGTTCTAAGAAGAAGAGACTTTCAGGCTAGAATTCCAGCACCGACCAAGCGCAAGGTCAGAAGAACGCATACCCGCCAGAGTCTGGGAGAGGCGCTGCTCACACATCCCGAACATCACAATGGTCTGAGGAGCATTTCAACAAAATGAGGAAGGAAATCAAGAAACAGGAACACACGGTAAGAGGAGAGGGGATGTGTGGGCCGCAGTGCGGAGACCAGGAGGCCCCCTTCTAAGGGCACAGGGTCACTTCTGTGTCTGAATCACGATCACGACACATGTGCTCTCCCTCCAGACCAGCCCCTGGCCCTGCACCCCAGCGAGGCAGGCATGATGGCAGAGACCAACCAGAGTGGTGAGGCCAGGATCTGAAACAAAGGTGAAGGGCATAACGTCTTGGCCCACAGACACCTGGCAAGCCGGCCTGGCCCTGAGCATGGCATGAGGGTGTGGTGTTGAGGGCAGAAGATAAGCAAGCCTCACTGCCGTCCGAGGACCGTGGGTTTGCAGTCAGGGTGTGAGGCCTCTCAGCCCGGCTCTGGAAGCTTCCACATGGTCCACGTGGTGACGCCAGCGCAGTGGCCGCGCCGCCCCCTCACCTGGAGATGGAAATGTGGACAGCCCCTCCCTCCCAGGGCGGGCCTGCCACAGGGCCCGGGGTCCTGGGTGAGCAGCAGCGTCTTTACCGGAGCCAGTGGAGCGGTGGGTTCTAGTCCACCCTCTGTCACTAAGTGTCTGGTCCAGTTAATCTACGATAGAAGGTCCATGGCTGGTCAAGTTGAACTACTACCTGTTAAGTCATTTTTTGGTCTTTCTTTGGGAACTGTTCTAGAAAATACAAATCTGACAAACCACTTTTTATTCTCAGTGCCTACTAAACAGCTGACTTTTGGAGCCCGTCCACAGGACAGGAACAACAATTAGTGCCTTTGCGTCTGCTCTGTAAAAGTGACCGCCCACTGTCTGAGACACCCAGAGGCAGCCAGCTACTCAATCTGACTGCAGAGAGCTCCCTGTGGGTCGTTCGCACTTTGAGTTCTGATTCACCAGCACCACTGAGAAGTCAGCGAGTGTGTCGGACGGTAACAGGCGCTACTGCGCCGAAGGTCAGCTCTTCCTGGTCTCAGACAGAGGCCACCTCAGGCGAGCCCGACATACACCCGGCTTAGCTGCTGGGTCAGCTGATCATTTCAGTTCATTACTTGGTTCTTAACAGGTGCAGATAAATCATGACTTCCAAAATCTTAGAGTTAATTTTCTTAGTTTTTACGAACGGCCAGTAACTATATCCAAAGTTACAAGGCTTGTACTTGTTTAATAATAAACACATCTCAAAACCCACGCTGCGACAAGCAGCCTTCTCTCCCCTCACTGGAGCAGCACGAGCCTGCGACGCACAGCGCCAGAACGCAGAGGAGTGACACTGGGCCGCTTCTGACCCAGTGATGCTGTAATCAGGCCAGTTCTCCACAGCCAGAGCAACAGATTCATGTCCACAAGTACATGAGAACTTATGGAACAAAGAGCTCCTGGAAAAAGACGCCTCCTCGGTGATAAAATGAAGACAATGAAGACATGAACCAAAAGTAGCCAAAAATGGAAACCAGGGGCAGCAGGTCTGCAGGCAGCTGTCGAACCCACGGAAACGCAAGAACTAGGCTGAAGAACAACAGAGCCGCAGCGACGGACCCAGCACACACTTCACCCTGAAGCCACGCGGCAGGCGGAGGGAGGGAAAAAGCGCGCAGCCCCGTGGCCCCGCGCCACGTCTAAAGCGGAGCTGGCCCCGAGGATGGCACCCTCCTCAGGAGAGCAGGCTTGCTTGCACTGAGGGAAGCTGCAATCTCATTAGTATCACCTTGATTTTCTGTTCACCAAGTTCAAGGAAAACGGAAACAAACCCCTCTATTTACAAGATTATCTGTGTAAACCGACAATACTTCAATAAAAATATATTAAAAAAAAAAACAACAAGACTATGTGAGTATCTTCGGAAGGTACATACCCAGTGATCTGGTTGTTTCTGGGAGAACCAGGGCACAGAGGTTCCTCCCCTACTCCCATCTGATTGCTTCATTTCTAGACTCATGTACTTCTGTAGGCTTTTCTGCATTGCTAGAACTTTTTTATAACTTTATGTATCATTTTTACAAAAGCTACAAAGTTGCCATTCTCATCATGCTTCCAGATGCACGAGTCACATCCAGGACAGTTTGTTAAGCACCTGCCAAATATTATAGCTTCATCTTGCCAGACCAGGCCGTTGGGGGTCCTGAGAACCAGCCTCCCAAGCCAACACTGTCCTTTTGACCCCAGGGGTCTGGACCTCATTCCCATGGGCTGCTTCCTTCTTGGAACTAGCAAGTCTCCAACAGTCCCTACAGAGACCCTTCTCATCAGAGCTCAAGAGAAAGCTGTTCATCTCAGGACCTGTTTTGGCCACTGGCCAATCAAAGGGACCTACACAGAGAGTCCAGTCAATCAAGGTCTAGTCAACTCCGAATTCTCCTAAGAACCAGCAAACATCCTAACATGGACTCCCTCCAATCCAGTTCTCAACCAGTTGAGTTTTCTGACACCATGGACCTTCCTTTATTTTAATGAAACCAGTGGCATCAGTGACGGACCTGCACAGCTCCAGCCCGATGTAACTGCACCACAGCCGAGGAGTCGAACACCAGAAACGAGCGAGCTGGGCCCAGCAAAAGCCAGCACAAACTTTGCCACTAAGGCTCACTTGGCGCGATTCCTCAAAGGATCCTCATGCTAGAAGCCAGCATGCAAGTTTTTCTGTAAAAGGCAAGACAGTAAGTATTTCAGTCTTGCGGGCAGGTTCCCAGCTCCGCCTTTGAGGCAGGAAAGCACATAACGTGTACAAGAGCAGGCACGGCCGTGTGCCCGGGAAACCTGATTTACCCATGGAACAGGCACAGCCCTGCCCTAGAGGTCAGGAAATGGCTCTCCTGTGACTTATTTAAGGGAAGTGGGAGCTTACAGATGGTCACCCCATCTGTGTGCTACAGGCATGTGCAGGCTTAGTTACCACGATTCCTCAAAAGTAACCCTGCACAAATATAAAACAAAGACGCAGGCAGGAAATGTTCTGAATACGTACTTCCAATCAAGATGACAAAATTCCAGGGGGGACGATGTAGCTCAAGTGGTAGAGCGTGTGCTTGGCATACACAGGTTCCTGGGTTCAACCCCCAGCACCCCCTCCAAAAACAGAACAAATAAGTAAACCTAACTACCCCTGCCCCCCCAAAATTAAAAAAAATAAAATAAAAAAGATGGCAAATTTTAAGAAATTTGTTGCAACGTGAAGCAATTAGGCCAGACAATAGCAAGAGTGCTCCCCAAACGACCAATCTCCCAGGAAAATTGCTGGAAAAGCTGGAGGAGAGGTGATGGCATTTTTAACACAGACCATCCAGGAAGGCTCCCTGTTACCCCCATCGGTTTATTCCTCTTTCTTTTGGTAACGATTTACTCACCGTCTGCTCTGACAGTGTACGTGCAAAGGCACCGCTCGGCTAGTGGGAAAACTTCAACCAGAAGACAAATCCAACACCACTCCTGCGGTTGTGACAACATGGTCCGAGGACCCCTAGTGGGCGCAGCACCCTAGCTGGGAGCCTGTGACCTGCTGCATCGCTAGTCAGGCCACCTGGCTCCCCGACACTGCTCGGCACATCCAGGGCACCAGACATTCGGGCGGGCAGAGGAAGACAGACAACACAACACGCCACTGGAACCACCACCCCTCACACACCAGACACGATGACCCCCAGTCACATGCCCTCAGCATACTCCGGGGGTTGTCCAACCGGGATCTTAATTAAATTTAAGTTCCCACGTAACATGGAACCACCGCCCTGATAACACT